AAAAAAATAATGTTATGTTTTATTAGATTTTGACCACCACGTAATATGGGCGAACTAGCTGGGCAAAAGTCCAATTACATATCGAAGCTTAATGCTTCTTTAAAATCAATCTAAACTTGTTTAGGAACAGTAAGGACGGTTAAATATAAAAAAATAAATACATAAAAACTATTTTTGTGTTTTAAGGGCAAAATCCTCCAAATTTGATTTCTTCCAATATCCCGGGGGTATATTCGCGAACATTGGGAAATTTAGATTATGATGGACGGTATACGAATTTCGTCCAGCAAGATTTTGTCAAATTGTTCTGAAGAAACTGCCTTTAATTGCACTAATTAATATATTAATGTATATATATATTTATATATATATATATATATATATATATATATTTATATTAATGTATATATAGAGATTTAATTTGAGTGGAGAAATTTTTTAAATTTTTAATGAAGGTAACACAAATTTATTTCAGTCACTATGGTGCTATTGCGTTTTTTGGCCTTCTTAATTATACAGTATCGGAGTGCTACCAATGGGTAGTTTCTCCTCATGTTGCACATATCATGTTACTTGTATTTATCATTTAATACAGTTGTGAATTTCAATAATAAAAAAAAAAAAGTTACAGTAGACTCGACTTATCTTTCTTTGGATCAAATCTTTGCGCTTTAAAAATCCTTAAGACATTGTTTTCTCCTGAATTTAATTGGAGACATTTTTTAATATTTCAAGTTGGTATTACACTATCATAGTCTTGCAAATCGTTGGGCAGAATAGTTTTACATTAGTAGAATACCTAAAAAAATGGTTTCTGTGGAAATATGATATATGATTTATGCCACTAACAGTTTAAAAGTTTCTTCCAATAAATTTAAAACTTCAGAAATAAAACAATTTTTAATCTCTGAAGTACCCAATTTGTAACTGCAGAAATAAATATCATAACATGACAGGTATTTGTTTCCCTGGGCGTGTTCAATTAATTTATATCTTTCCTAGTTCACACCCACATGTTCAAGCATTTTAATAAAACCTTTAAAAACAAAAAAAAAAAAACCCTAATGGTTCTACTCTAATCTAGATTATCATTGTATTCAAAATGTTAAGTAGCAGTCAGAATCGGTCCTTGAATATGACGAGTCCTGTCTGGAATAAACCCTCTGACATGAACATAACCATATTAGATTTACATTAACATAACGAAGGGCTGGGCCAAGGTCGGGAGCTGCCCACGGTAGGGAGCGTCCTTCGTGTTATGCCTTTATTGGCATCATAGATATTTCTCAGGAGGAATCTTTAAGGTCACTTCTGTTTACTCTTGACGCCAATCCAAACATCCGTCTCGGATGATTTAAAAGTGGTTCTTATAAGTTAACTTTAAAAATCTTTTTTACTAATTTATCTTTTATAAATTAAACTATACAATAAAGGAAAAATAAGATGAATTGTATTATGTTAGTATTGTTTACAAAACTGATGTGGTCACTCAGGAGCTCCAATGTAGTAAAGTCTGCTACAAAATCATAACTAAATATTACATAATTTATTTTTATGATTTTTGCTTCCTCACTACCGAAGGTACGTTAGAATCTCTGTACTTGTGCGAGAGGTTAAAAAAAATTAGATGCTCATAATCAAAAATCACTCACGTTTTACGTTTCAGACATCAATCATCAAATTTAGTTTGTCGTCTCTCCGTCTTTATTCAAATCGATATAACAGGTATATCCGTTTATCCGATTTTCATGAAATCTTCAAGAAATGTGCGGATTGGTATGTAGATGGTCCCATATTAATTTAATCAAATTCCATCCAACATTTCCACTTACGCAAATGTATTTCTTTAGCTATACCAATATTTCAGAAACGACCCGTTCGATTTGACTCAAAGTTAGAAAAAAGATAGATGTTGATGAAAAAATAATGCTTTATTAATTTAATTCCATTCCGCTGACTGCTTTCTCTTTAATATGTCCAAACGTATTTTTCGTGATGCGTCTATATCTTAAAAACCACACGTTCGATTTGGCTTCAATTTAGAGTGAAGTTAGGGATCGGTAAACAAACAATCAGGTAAAAACAGACACCCATTTCAGGAAATTCAATCCCCTACTTTCAGAAAAATACTTCCGCTTTCGAGTACGAAAATGTATTGTTTTTAATACAGTTGTATTTTGAAAGTTGGAGGAAATGCGGAGAACCGTGTAGAAATTCCCTAGTATCAATTTCATTGAATTCTATTCAACAATTAAAATTAATTTAAATAACCTGTAAAAATTTAATGCTGGGGAAGACATTGATCATGTGAAAGGGAGGTTATGTTCATAGTTTTTTTTTTATGAGGTTATAACATTTTAGACTCTATTCAAAAAAGTTTAAACTTCATGTATTGTCGTTTACATATTACTATTGGCGCTACGAAAAATTCCATGTAATTTTCAGTGATTGTGGGGGTTGAACCTTAGATAGCCCAATATAGATTTTGCCGAATCCCTTCACCATCTTTCACTTAGGCATGCGATTTTCCTTTACTATATGTACCGTATACTTGTAAATTTAAATTAAATTTTGCACAGAATATAAAAAATAACGTCATATTTGTGAGTTTCTTTGTTTCTTTTGAAATTCAACCAACTGGTTCTGGTCTCGATTTATCTGGTCTCGAATTTTTTTTAAAACTAGTTATAATAGAAGGGTAGGATGTAAGCATCGATAAGTTTTAAATATGTATAGGCCTTCATTTCTTGTATTTTGTTAACTTCATTCATATTCTTATATTTCTTCTTGAATTACTTTTGTTTTAACTGATGGAGAATGTCGGTGAATTTGGTGAGGAAGCTATACTGACCTTACATGGCATGCGTTTTTTTCGATTACCCTCACCTCGCCATTAATGGAATACGGAAGGGTTGTTCTAGAGGTACAACCAAACCTGTTATAACTAAAGTGGTGAGGTCAGTATTCATTCCGTGGTTCGCCACGAAATAAATTTCAATTCGTCTAGGCCGGATTCGAGGAGGCGTCGCTACTCTTGAAAATGGTAGAGTTAGCACTTTACTACGCTTAACCACCAAGACTTATTTTTACAATTACTATATTTTCTTGATATATTCGAGAAAATAACGTATTAGCTGAGTACTTGACACAATCTAGGCGTTGCAACTTGATCATAGTTCCTATTTGCCATTTTAGTTCTTACATTCCTAAAACAGCTCGCTACTGCGTTCAAGGAATCTCCTGTCCTACTTCTATTTCAAGGCAGGCAGGTTAATGAATATTGTCGACGTCATAAGGAAGTATTATGACCATATAAAAGAATAAATCAGCACGATATAGACAGTTCACTTAGAACTTGCAAAGTTTAATTATAAAACCAAGCATTTATTACGATTTTTTTTATGTTAATATTTTATTTTAAGGCAATGATAAGTAATTTTGAAACAGATTGTGGACGTTGATAGTTATGGGCATTAGTAGGATAAAAATAAAGCCAAAGAAAATATCTAGCATTGATACATTATATCAGCGCTCTTTAAACTGGGTGCCACAGAAATAGTATTTAATGTGAATTTTTAAAATGTAGGTCAAACTTGTCGATTTGGTAAGTAGACTCTAAAAATTCATAAATCAATATTTGTTGATGTGAATAAAATTTTATTTAGTTTACTTACAGGGTGTCCTCTAAGTAGATAGAAATTTTCAGAGGAGTGATAGCAGATCTCAAAAGCAACAAAAAAGTTTATATAAACAGTCGGTTTATATAAACAAGTGTCATGTTATTGTTGAATAGGAAACGACAACTTAAGAAACATTTAATTTAAGTAATTAAAATAGCTTCACTATAAAGGAGAAAAAAATTACTTTAAATGAAAATAGAGTTTGTCTGTGTTAAAACCATTTAAAGAGAACTTCTGAGCCGCTTAACTTAAAGGTAAGTTCTATTTTTATAAAAATCATAAATTATTCGCGATTTTTTTTTTTTTATCATCATCCAACTATACTAAAAAGATTCCACTTTCTGAAAAACTTTTTCGATTAATAAACATTAAGTTCATAATAATTAAGTTTAGGTTTATTTGGGAAACATTTGAGATTCACTTCAAGTTGTGAAAAAAAAATGACAAAGGCATAAGGCATATAAAGGCATGTATAGGCCTTCATTTCTTGTATTTTGTTAACTTCATTCATATTCTTATATTCCTTCTTGAATTACTTTTGTTCTAACTGATGGAAAATGTCGGTGAATTTGGTGAGGAAGCTATTAATGGAATACGGAAGGGTTGTTCTAGAGGTATGACCAAACCTGTTATAAATAAACTGGTAAGGTCAGTATTCATTCCGTGGGTTCGCCACGAAATAAATTTCAATTCGTCCAGTTATATCCAGTTACCTAAAAGCACCCATATTTTCAGTAAAAATGATTACAATTAATAATTGTATAGCTTTTATTTCTTGTTTTTCCATGATCTGGGATGTATTGTAATAAACGTAATTGCCTAAATATTCTTTTCATTTATAAAAAAATAATTAAAAAGAATGATATTTCAGATAAAGTGGTTCTGAAACTGTATTTTTCACCCAGGTCTCTATTATCGGAATTAAGTTAATATGGACTTGAACCTTATTAAACGAGGAAGTTTATTAAACTCTATTTTCATTTTAAGTAAATTTTCTCTAGTTAACAGTGAAGCAATTGTTAATTACTTACATTATTTATTTATCGTTTCCTATTCAACTAAAAATATGATACTTAAAAAAAAAACACAAAACTTGGATTTCCCATTTTTTTGTTGGAAATTGGCCCATTGTTTATATAAACGTTTTTGTAGCTCTTGAAGTTTGCTATCACTCTTATAAAAATTACACTCTACTTACGGTACACCTTGTGAATATAAAATAACAAGAAGAATCTTTTATTGAACTATAATTGTATTATAATATTTAATTATTTAAATATTACTAAATTACATGATTATGTTATATAATTTTTTTTCCAGTTGACGAAAGAAAAATGGAACCAGCAGTTGTTCCATATTTTAGCCATCTCTTTTTTGGCGATCAAAAGGACCGGTGAGTGCTCCAAAAACAAAGATATTTTTATTGGTTATGGTACCTGATTTATGTAAACATCAGTATTTTTTAATTTATACTACTGTTTCTATTGGTTATTTTAACGTAAAGTTCTCAATTTTAAACAATATAAATAGGTAATTTAGTGCTAGAAAATCAAACTATTAAAAAATAAATAAATCTTGAATGTAAGTACAATATAATTATTATGTTAAGATTGTACTTTGTTGTAATTTATATTATTTATATTTATATATATTTATATTAAATTATATTGTTTTCCTTATTTTGCCATATTTTTGCACTCTCAAAGAAAATTATCATTGAAAAACCTCTATATTTTGGATGGAAAATGCCATATGTCATATGAAATGTTTTCTCAATAAACTCCTTATACTATGCTTCCAGAAGCGATGTCAGATCCTTGCAACCCTTCGCCATGCGGAGCTAACACCCAATGCATCAGCCGAGACAGTAGGCCCGTCTGTGTCTGCCTCCCAGGATACTGGGGCAACCCATTGTCCTACTGCCAGAGGGGTGAATGTGCAGGTAACATCTCACTTCTAATATGTAAGTCAGGTTTTCCAACATGGCTCTTATTCAACTATATTTCAACCAGAGACTCGAGACTGCCCAGGAAGCAGAATCTGCAGGGATTACCGATGCGTGGATGTCTGTGAGGGACAGTGTGGAGCTGGAGCTTCGTGCACGCCTAGGAACCACATCCCCGTATGCACTTGCCCTCCAGGATACACCGGGGATGCTCTTTCCTCATGCAGGCCGTTCGATCCACGTAAGCATCCAATAATAAATAACGACAGAATTTTCATGTATTAAATATTTAATATCTGCATTTTTCTTTCACGGCCTCATCGTTTGATTTACTTACAGAGGAACTGTGCAACCCATCCCCGTGCGGACGCAACACCCGCTGCGAAGTAGTCAACGGCGTTCCAACGTGTAGTTGCCTGCCGGGATACGTGGGCGCTCCTCTTACTGGCTGCAACCACGAGTGCGAGAGTGACTACGATTGTCCAGGCAGTACGAAGTGCTCAAACTTCAAATGCACGCAGCTCTGTACCCCGGGAACCTGTGCACCCAATGCTCGATGTGATGTCAACAACCACAGGTCTCTCTGCACGTGCCCTCCGGTCAGTTGGATTTTCTTACTCCAATAAAATATACATCTATATCAAAGCTATGTTCACATTTAAATATGAAGTATCGGGTTTAATCAAGAGTTTTTCACAAAAAAAATAGTATCCAGTATTTATAAAGTAGAAGATACTATATATTATGAGACATACAATAACTTTGGTGTCATTATTGTAATTTCTTTATAACTGTTTCTCTTATGAATGCTAAATTAAATAAAAACTAATATATGTGATTACATTGAAACTAGACCAATATCACAGCTATCTCTGTCGTGACAGGGTACTTTTGGCGATCCTTACGTATCTTGCAACCTTGAGTGCGAGAGCCACTACGATTGCCCCAGCGGACGCCCAGCTTGCTCTGCCGGGAAGTGCATCGACCCTTGCGCGCAGGGTGTGTGCGGAGTGGGCGCCGATTGCAGGGTCAAGGAGAGGACGACTCCGGTCTGTAGCTGTCCGAGGGACATGACAGGGGACCCCTTCGTATCTTGCAGGCCCTTCGACAAGAGTGAGTAAAACATATTCCGTTTAAATATGAAATATTTAAGTAACAATACGTATCAATTTAGAGAATTGATTTAGTACTATTTGTTATGAAAAAAGTCTTTATCATTATATATTTCCAAATATTTATTGAACATTATTGCTTAACTATAATTTCAGAAGCTGCTTGTAGATTGCTACTACTAACACTTCTTCAACGAACTCTGTAACGTTACATACACAATGCACAACATAATGCTTTTTATCTGGCCGTTTTAGGCTCGAGGATTGAACAGTGATGTCAAACTGCCGAATTCTTTCCACACAGAACTCTTTCAATCAAAAATTCTTCTAATACTCCTTATTACGTCACTATTAATCAATCTGCAATTACCTTTATTTCTTATGTAAATCCTACATCGTTCCCAGTGACGTAATTAAAGTTGAATACGTCACTAACAAAACATTCAGAGAGCGACTCTATTCAATAAATAAGAATATTTTTTCCCCACTTGATTCGAAACACTACACATTAGATATTAGTCGAAATGATAAGGGTAGAAAAAATACAATTATATGTATATATATATGTTATGATAAAATTATTTTTAATGGTAATAACGTTCTTACGAAAATCGCCTTATCAGCTGAAACGTTTGAGATGAAAATTAAGAAACTTAAGAGAAAAAAATCGAATCAATCCTTATTCCAAATAAGAATATCGACTTAAAACGCTATTAAAAATACATATTGAAGAATTGATTACTTAAATCGATTGAGATCGAGGAGTAAGCTAAAATCAAAAAATTCTACTCTCGTTTCAGCCTGCTCGATTTTCCAGCTCAGGGATTCATAAGTTTTCACGCTAAAACTTGAAATCGATTGGTCAATGTGAACTTATACTTCTGGAGTTAGTTTTTTTTTCTAACTGAAAATAATCTTTATCACTTCTAGGTTATTTTCTTTTTCCTTGTTGCCATATTCTTTTCATTTTTTTCCCCCATCTCTCTCTTTTTCTCCTCTGTCCACTTCTTACTCTCTTGCTTCTTCTTATCCACTACAAGAGCCTCCATATTTTCCACTATTTTCCTGAATTTATCCTTATCTTGGTAGTCCTCCTTTTTGATACCTATTTTTTTCACTTCTTCATTTATTTGTTCTGGATAACCTTTCATGTTCTTGAATCCCATTACTCTACCGAATATTTGTTTTTCCGCTTTTTCCAACCGATTCTCTTCATATGCCCGAAGAACTTTAATCTTCTTTTTTAACATTAATCCATCGATGATTCCAAGTTTTCAATATGTTCTTATTTGAACGGTATTCTTCTTCCCTCTCCCCTCCCATATATAGCTCTCATTATCTTTCTTTCTGTTTTCAGTAATAGTTCCATATTGGTAAATCCCATAGTCTCCGCTCCATAGAGTATCACCGGTGTTATGACTGTTTCATAATGTCTAATTTTGGCTTTCCTGGAAAGATTCTTTTTATTATACAAACTCCTGACTAAAAACTTCAATTTATCTAATTTGACTTCCCTACTCTGTGTTGCTTGCATGTCTCCCCCATTATAGTTTACGAGTACCCCAAGATATTTAAACTGTTTCACCAACCTGATTTTTCCGTATTTAGTCCCTTATCATAAATCATTATTTCGGTTTTTTCAAATGATATTCAAAACCCGTCTCTTTATGTTATTTCCTACACTGCGTTTATCTAATTAACTGCCTCTTGTTCACTTTCAGCCATAAGTGCCAGATCATCCGCCAAAGCCAAGCATTTTTACTCCTCTTTTTCCCCCAATCCTTATACCAGATTTATTGGAATCGCAAAATGTTCTCATAATTTTGTCCAAAACTATATTGAATAAAGTAGTTGATACTCCATCTCCTTGCCTTAACCCTGTTTTAATTTCGAATGGTTTACTGATTTCCCCCTTGAATTTAATTTTAGGATACGTGTCAGCTTAAGTTAGTTTAATCAGATTTATAGTTTTCTTATCTGCTCTGTATTCCCTCAGCATCCGAACAAGTGTTTCTCTACCCACCGAATCGTAGGCTTGCTGAAAATCCACAAAGGAGCCATAAATTTTCTTCGATCTAATCATATTTTGTAGTACCTCAAAATTAATTTTAGACTCAGTATTTGTAGCGGATATCTCCCTTATTACAGGGTTTCAGGGCACTGGCGGATCCTGGAATTAATTTTGGGGGAGGCTTCAACCCGAAAGCTTTTTTTTTCTCTCTGTATATATAACAATAATTACTTTGAAACCAAGATAAAGATAATAACTACCTACAAGAAATGGTGTATAAGTGATTTTTGAAGTCCTATTAAATGTAATTAATGAACAATGATACTTTTTTGAGATAATTTTTTTCGTAAGACATAGATATATTTCACCATTTTGGGAGGAGGTTTAAGCCCGAAAGCTTCCCCTCTCCCCTCCCCCAACTGCAAAAATGAACTAAGGGCCTCAAAATAACATAAATATTTCCTCTGAAGGTATGTCCGCAAACGCTTTAATTAGGAGATATTCATGTCTAAAGTTTTCGTTGTTATGAATTATCTACGTTACGTGAAATAAATAAAACCTATTTATTAGTTCTAACTACTTTATTAATTAAATATAAACATTAACATTCATATTAAATGTTGTTCCAAGTGATTTCCTTGAGCATTAAGACAGGTTTGGCATCTTTCTTTACCAGCAGATTGGCAGAATGGCACTGTATATACATCTATATATATATATAGATCCATTTTACTATTTCTGCCAAACAAGAGCACATCCTCATGTCATATTTTTCTTTTAACTCTTGTAGAACACATTTGTTTGGAGAATATTGGTTATAGTTGTTAATTACAATAAAGTTTAATTTTACAAATAATAAGTTTCTATCATTTAAAAAGCATCAACTGCATTATTAAGAATTAATAATTCTACTAACCATTCTGCATAAGATCAATCGAAATTTCTTCATTTATTGATGCACTTCTTACTACTTACAGATTTATAGCATTGGTCACTTAAAATAATTTGATCCAACTTGAATTTTATCTACTTATTTAGGTACTTTAGAGTCAATATGATTACTAAATAACGTTCCGTTATTATTAAATTTTCAATGTATGAAACTAATGAAAAAAGAAAAATACCTCCAACCCCTTCCCTTCGGCATGACTGCATTCTCCACACATTCGTGATATGAGCACTTTTAGTTTAATTTACTTAATATTTTTAAAACATTGTAAGGCTTCTAAATTTAAGTTCCATACCTAATTACTGGAAACATGTCGACTTATTCTATCCCATTGCTAATGTCCTTCTAATTTTGTTTCCTAACTGGAAAGTAGATCAACAATTGTTGGACACTGAAGCAACATCGTTAATTTCCGTTTGAACGTTTTGAAGGAGCCATTATATGGAACCTGAATCCGGGGCGAGACACTTGACCCCCTTCCTTAAGATGGCCTATGAAGAAGATCTTCGCCTTTTCATGAGGCAAGGTCAGCTTAGGCAACGGATAGATATTGATCTTTTAATGTCTTTTGAAAAATAAGTCGTGACTGAGGGTTGTCCTAAACTACTTATTTGAAATAAAAGATGTATTTCAAAGAGTTCCAAGAGCATTAGCACTACAATAACTAAACGTCGATAGAACATTTTGCAAGTCCGGAAAAATGAAAATTTATCTCGGAATAAAATATACTGATTGGTTTTTTAACCACACCCCTCCCTAGTGAGTATAACCGATACTTTACAGTGTGTTTTAACCTAGGATGCAAAACAAAAATATTTATAGTCCATTTTAACCTAGAATGCAAAACAATAATGTTTTCGAGCATCACAGTACCGAAAATATTTTCATTCGTCTTGCGAGGCATATATATTTTTTTTTTTCAACTTTGGAGGAATGGTACATTATATAAATTTTTAGAACTCTTAGGGTCGATCTCTTAAAATCCAAAATAAAATTTGAGACCAAAATTATGATGGAACATTTACCAGGTCTGAAGGGTTAAGAATATCACTCGCAGTAAAATTATTCTGATAAGTTTTTAAACTGCTCACAGTGAGTTCAACCGATATATGGTAGTGTATTTTAAGCTAGGACGTGAAACATTAAAGTTTTCGAGGTTCACAATACCGAACATTTGGCAAGTCCAGAAAACGAAAATTTATCTCGGAATAAAATATACTGATTGGTTTTTCAACTGTTCCCCCTCTCCCCTGTGAGTATAACCGATAATTTATAGTGTGTTTTAAATTAGGAAGCGAAACAAAAATATTTTCGAGCATCACAGTACCGAAAATATTTTCATTCGTCTTGCAAGGTATATATATATATATTTTTTTGTCAACCTTGGGGGCAATGGTGCATTATATCAATTTTTAGAACTCTTAGGATCGCTAAAGGACAGCTCAACAGATCTAACACTACGCTGTTACAGTTGAGAAATAATTATAACAAAACTTTCTATTAGTACTTTTCTTCTTACATATCTTCTTAATTTATGTACAATTTTCCGATGACGTATGTCTAGAAGAGAAACATCACATCCATTGTGGACTCCAAAAAAAAGCAATATGATTATTAATCACTTAGTTCAATTAAAGACAAAATCAAATAACGGCTATAATTAGGCATAATAGCATGGTAGTAATTATGCAATCATAGAACTTGATTTATTGGACTCGACCCCTCGGTCGAAAAAATTTGTTGCATAATAACAGGTTTTCAAATAATGGAACATGGACAGAAAAAAAATCAATTAATTGTCATTTTTCTTTCCAGCTGACCTTTGCGTACCTAACCCCTGTGGAACGAACGCCCAGTGCACACCCGGCCACGACAGGACAGGTAAGGAGCGGCCAGTCTGTACTTGCCCTCCAGGATACTCTGGCAATGCCTTGGTCCACTGCAGGCGTGGCGAATGTTCTACTGACTCCGAGTGCCGCTACGATCAGGTCTGTGACGGCTACCAGTGTCTTAATGCCTGTCAGAACCAATGTGGCATTGGCGCCCAGTGCACGGCAAGGAACCACGCAGCTGTCTGCTCCTGTCCTCCTGGCACTACTGGGCAGCCATTGGCTCGCTGCAACCCAGTGCAGCCTCCGGTAGCAGCTGTCCGGAGGGGAGGGAGGTTATTTTATGAAAAGTAGTAATTAAGCATAAAAAATACTTTGTCAATTAAGTATAAAAAAGTTTGTTCAGAGAAATCTCACAATGATCTTTTTAATCATACACCATTGTAATATGAGTATTTCTTAAAAATAAATAATAATAATAACTTCTTGTAGGTTCTATACTTAACGAATTTCTCTGTATGGCAAAGAGTCAACGATTCATCCTTAACAGAGGAAATGGCAAAAGTATTATACTTAATAATATCATATTCAAGATAATGAAAAACATCTTAATAATTACTAGATATAGAAGAAATGTACGGAATACAATTGGTTGATTGATGATTATATGATATCCTTGGTCATTAGTTTTTTAAGGTTGTAAAATTCTTAAAAATGTGTAATATTGAAAGTCTTATCACTCAACTGAAAATCATTTTCTACTAAATGAAATGATACGGTTAGATTTCCCTAAGTGTATAAGACTATTTCATCAATTATTGAAGGTAATGACAAAATTTTATATGTAATAATACAAAATAAGGTTAAAATTTTTTTACATGATATGTTAATGTTATTCGAAAAAGAGTCTTGTACAAAGACAAATAAATTATTTTAATTTTTTTTTATTGTTATTTTTCACCATACATTTCCATCATATAGACGGTATTTGGTGATTATGAGGTGAGTATAAAAAAATGAAACTACATTTCTTCCTAATGATCGTTATTATTAAATTGTAAGAACAAAGCTTAGTCTAAATTTCCAATTTCATGTGTTGAGCATTATAAATGAAACAATTTACAACAGTTAAACATGGAAGAAAATCGTCTCGCAAGGTAACAAAACTGCCAGTGAGCGATTGGTTCTAGATGTGATGTGGAAAACTAGTCTGCAAGGGGGCTTTGGGTATTTTTTTTAACAAACGACGGCTACCTAGAGGTTGACATTGTTTACTAATCGAAGTGAAAGTTTCATCATTCATTCCTCGGAGGCTCCAAAGAACAAATATTAGCCCACCCAGTGAGAATCGAATCCATAATGTTCAGAACTGGGTACTCTCACACCATCGCCAAATAAATTCTTCCAGAGAGATGTAATCAATGGATTTGTCACTGAAAATTATAAATAACCTGGCTGTAAAATGATAATATAAAAATTTTAAGATAGTAACTAAATTGAGTTTCAACTAAACAAGAAGAAATGAAAAGTTAGCAAATATATAAAGCAGTAACAAATCCATTTCAAACTAACTCTCTGCTCCCTTCATGATATACCCGTTACAGGTATTTTTAATACAAAAAAATGTATTCAAAAGGCATCAAACATCTTGCCAAAACAATGCAGCATGGCGAGTAAGTCCTTTATTCTCCGTTCGTATTTCTTTGTATGTTTATAAATTCAATAGTGCAACAGAACCCACTACTTTGTAGGGATGTAAATTTCGAAATAGTAATTTGATATATTGAAAAAATAAACCATTGTATTGCGTCTCAATATTTTCAATCATTGAAAAAAACAATTTGGATACGAAAAATATCTACTATCGATATGTTTCGTAATTGCACGTCATTTTAGGTATGTGTTTACCAACACAAAATAAACAAGAAAAGTTGATATTAACATATATCTCAAATTCATTCATTTGACTCCCTAAGTCATATAGAACAATTTGTCTCCTCCCTGTGATGAGTAAGGTTCTGGAGAACCTCATGATGACCAGGTTACGGCCAGTTATTGATCAAGCATGTCATCCACGGCAGTACGGCTCTACCAGAGGCAGAGGAACCTGTATGAACTAGTGAGAAGCTACCTCCAGGACCGAACATTGAAAATTAGGGACAGATTCTTTCAAATAGAAGACACCGTCGAAAGGGGCTGCCCGCAGGGATCTGTTCTGGGTCCTGCCTTGTGGAAGCTAGTCTTTGACGAGTTGCTGGAGAAGCTGGAAGAGGAACGATTCTGCCACGGCCTATGTTGACGATTTGGCCGCCGTTGTGGCCTCAAACAGCATAGCCGGTCTGAAAGCAGAAGCTGAACGATGCGCCAGTTTGGTAGGAAGATGGTGCGAGAGGAAGAAGTTAAAGATGGCTGCAACAAAGACCCAGGCAATTCTCTTGAGGGGCACGACTGACAGGGCACATCATATTATGTTGAGTATAGAAAAAGAAAGGATACGTCCAAGTGAGGTTGTCACCTACCTTGGCATATAAATTGGTCGAAGGTTCAACGTGACTCCTCACCTGGACTATATGAGAACTAGAGTCACAGTGGCCCTAAATGGACTCAGTCGCGGAGGCCTTCTGGGCTCTCAGATACCCAGCTACAATGACTATATACAAAGGAGTAGTTTTGGGTATTCTGAGATATGCGTCCCCAGCCTGGAACCTAAACCTCTCGCACCGACAGAAGAGTAGGCTAGCATCGATTCAGAGATTGGCTTTACTTCCGTTACTAGAGCCTATAGAACGATATCTCATGTGGCAGTGCAAGTACTGGCAGGGGGACACCTCTCGACCTCCTGCAAGAAGATGTGACCAAACAAAAGTTCGAGAAACAAGGCTTGGCTGGAGTTCCAGAAAATTTACAGGTGAGGATTGTGAAAAGTCCCAACAAAAGGAAGAAGATAATCCGGGAGGATACGATTGAGGAATGGAGCCTTCGGTGGGTTGCTATCCCGAAAGGGATTACTCTTCGGAAATACTTCTCCACCGTACAATCGCGGTTAGATGCACAATGGATCCTCCCGGACTATTGGATTTCACAGTTCCTCACGGTGCATGGGGGTTTTCGAGCTAAGCTACATGGCTTTGGCCAGGACATAGATCCCCAATGCCCCACTTGTGGATTTCTGGAGACTGCCGAGCACGTGGTTAGGGACCTGCACTGCATTCGAAGGAATAATGGCAATAATGATGAGAACCGCGGGAATTTACGTCCTAATAGAGGATGAACTTCCTCAGTTGGTAAGTAATGAGAACTTCCCTCGGGTCAAGAAATTCATTTATGACTGGAAGGAGGCAGTAGGTCCAGCCCACTTCAACATCGGAGCACGGAGAAGAGGACCACCACCTAGAAGACCGACGGAAGACGGACATCGTTGATCAGAAGTCACCGAAGATAAAACTTTTAAACTGTTTCCCTTGCAGTAGTGTGCTGTTAGGCAGTCATGCATGACACTCCACTATTGTAAACGTCCGTATAGGCCATCAGGCAAGGTAGGGTGGAATGTAAATAAATAATAACTCATTTATTAAACCGATATCAAAGGTTAAAGATTTGTTATTTATTATTACTATTTATTTATTATTATTACTACATTTAGAGTAACTGTTCAAAGGGGCCACCGTTTTGTTGAATGCAACATTCAGCACGACGAATCCATGCTTCTCTGGTTCTTCATATAGCATCAGGATGGTGCTTGATAGTTACTACGGCTTCCACGATCCGATTTCTTAGCTCTTCTTGCGTGCCAACTTCATCCAGCCCCACACAAAATAATCTAATGGCGTTAAATCTGGAGATCGTGGTGGCCATTAACAGGTTTGTTTTGACCTGAAAGGTGTGTATAAGAATACACACTTTTTAGAGGCTGGAGGTGCCCAAGGAGGGTCTGCCGACCCCAAATTCGATCCACGGTCGATGTATCCGGATAAATAATTACGTGCCATCAGCCGGATTCAAACCCAGGATCTTGTGCCTACGAAGTCAGGACCTTACCCAATAGGCTCATTACTTATCCCGCTCCCAAAACAACAGCACAAACTATTGGTGGGCTGTTTAGTCAAAAGCTATTTAATTTAAACAGTTTCTTTCATTAAACTGATACAGTTCTACTGTATTGATTTAACTGTTTTGATAGTACAACTCCACTCCCAAAATATTTATCAATAAGGAAAATAAAAAGTTATTTCTAGGAACTAGAAATATAAAAATCAATTAAATGTCTTATATTTTAAAAATAAAATAAAAGGATGACAAAAATGACTTTCAAAATTTAATTATTAATGAAGGAAGCCTACAAAAAGTCGTCTTTAGTTGTAATCTTTTCATAAATTGTTTTGTACTTAATTTTAGCTATTTCGTTTTTCTAATTACAGCGTTTATATTTTTATTTTTAGAAGAATACTTAAATTAATAGCTAATTGTTTCGATTGTAATTAGAATTTCTATTATTCTTAATTTACATTTATTAGTCTTGTTATTGGGGTTCAGAAATTTCCTAAAGAACTATTAAATTTCTTTTCTCCTTTATTTGGGTTAAACGTTTTAATCCGTAATATTTACGTTTTTTCTTTTCAGTTTTAACGAATACATCTTGAATAATAAAACAGAACCCTAAATCTATATTTATAAAAATGAATGTATGTCTGTCTGTTTGTCCTTTAAGCATTACTAAGCCACTCATCCGATCGCCATGAAACTTTGGGAAGTTGTTCCGTACACTTCTGGGAAGGTTTCTGTCATAGTACTTCTGTCTTATGATAATTTTATATATGTAAAAGAAATAAAAATGTAAATGTTTTTCTGTTTGAAGCTGCAAAAAAATGTGTTACTATAAACTGGAGCGCCAAAACGGCTTCAACGATTTAAACGAAACTTAGCTAAAGTCTTCCCCTTGAAACCCTTTTAATTTATGTGTATAACATACTTTCTCGAAAACAAGCTGAAAAATGTTACGACGTACGATGAATTCAATATTTTATTTGACGATAGCTAAAAAAGCACACAATTTTTGATTGATAATACCCATATTATTTGTTTGAAAGATTTCTGATTAGCAGACAAAATAAAATAAAAAACCAATGAAATCGGTCGATTCATTGCCGAGTTATAGAGTTTTAAACATTTATTGCTTAATCTTTAGAAAAGGCCTTTTCCTTTTTTCTTTTTATTTTTTTTTTTTTTTTTTTTGTTATTGATTATACTCGAAAATTTTATAATTACTACAGTAATTGAAATTATCATATGAAGAAGTGATATGATTCTCCTTATGTAGGTCAATAATATTGTATGCTCTTTATATTCATTTTTTATTTTCCTCCCAATATATTCTGGAAGTAGTATGATACATTTCAAATATTTCATTTGCTTTTATTTAAAAAGATTTAACTCTTGAGTAATACTTATCACCGTGTATGTTCCTTTTAGAAATCATTTTTTATTCATTTCATTTTTTTATAAATTCTTTTCTCTAACATTACGTTGGAATAAGGCTGTGCCGTTTACCGTTGGATTTCTTTCATGAGTATGGTTTATTTTTCAACTACAATTTTTACACCTCTATATTTAATCAAGTTGTTATTAATAAGAAGCAATCAACTATCTTAGAAGGGTTATGCGAAATCTTTTGAGGAATGTGGAAGGCAGATCTAATTCACACGAAATGAACGCTATGATAAATGGTATTGCGCAATTTCAATGCATTGCCACGATTGATATTTGAAAATCTTTAACATTGAAACGGTATCGTAAAATATTCTGAACCGCATGTGTTGCTTTTACATCCAACTGATGGTGCGTTTTTAATAAATATGTATCGTTTCACCTTATATTTTATAATAGTGTATTAACGCACGGATTTAAATGCAACGTTAAGCCAAAATTTCAAGGCAATGTGTGAAG